TTTTCATTAATTCCTTTGACATTCTGGACCTTTTGTTCTCCCAAATGAATCTTGTTATTTTTTTTTCTAACTCTATAAAATAATTTTTTGGTAGTTTGATTGGTATGGCACTGAATAAATAAATTAGCTTAGGTAGGACTGTCATTTTTCTTATATTAGCTTGGCCTACCCATGAGCAACTGATGTTTTTCCAATTATTTAGATCTGATTATATTTGTGTGAAAAGTGTTTTGTAATTGTGTTCACAGATTTCCTGGGTTTGTTTCGGTAGGTAGACTTCTAAATATTTTATAATGTCTACAGTAAGTTTAAATGGAATTTCTCTTTCTATCTCTTGCTTCTGGGCTTTATTGGTAATATATAGAAATGCTGATGATTTATGTGGGTTTATTTTATAGCCTGCAACTTTGCTAAAGTTGTTTATTGTTTCAAGTAGTTTTTTACTTGATTCTCTAAGTATATCATCATGTCATCTGCAAAGAGTGATAGCTTTGTTTCTTCTTTGCCTATTCTAATACCTTCAATTTCTTTTTCTTCTCTTATTGCTAAACCTAACGTTTCCAGTACAATATTGAATAACGGTGGTGATCCCAATTACTGTTGAGGGCACCACCATCCGCCCAGTCACCCAGGCTCACAATGTAGGTGTCATCCTCAACTTCTCGTTCTCCTTCATTGCAAATATCCAATCAGTTGCCAAGTCCCTATTGCTATAAGATAGATATACAACCCCTTTTCTTCTCTAACACTGAAACCACCCTGGCGCAGACCCTCATTACTTTACTCCTGAGCTCCTGAAACAGCCCACTGGTTGGTCTCTCTGCCTCAAACCTTCCCTCATTCCAATCCAACCTCTACTAAGCTGTCAAAGTTATCTTCCCTAAGGACAGGTCTGACTATGTCACCTTATACTCAAACAACTCCACTGCCTCTCTATCACCTCCAGGATCAAATATAAAATTGTCTGACTTTTAAAGGCCTTTCTAGTTTTTGTACACCTTACACATCCCTTTGTACTCTATAATCCATTGACACTGGCATCCTTGATGTCCCTCACACATGATACACGATCTCTAAACTCCATACATTTTCACAAGTTGTACCCCGATAATTGGAATTCTCTCCCTCCTCTTTATCTTATGGATTTGCTGACTTCTTTCAAATCCCAGCTAAAATCAGACCTTCTGCAAGAAGCATTTCCCAATCCCCCTTAATGCTAATGTGTTCCTTTTCAGACTATCACAAATTTATCCTATGTCAATCTTATTTGTACAGTTGTTTTCATGTTGTCTCTTTCATTAGACAGTAAGTTCCTTGATAAGAAAGACTTTTGTTTTGACCATTCTTTGTATCCCCACAACTTAGTACAATGTCTGGCACATAGCAAAGTGCTTAATAAATGCTTATTGATTTCCCTACTGTGGGCCCAGTTGGCATTAGCTAGTATAATTTGTAGTGGACCAGTCAGCAGAGTTTTATGATTTCCTATAGTTCTTTTCAATAGCAAGTGAGTAAGAACAAAAGAAGAGGATAGTGGGAGTGACCTAGGGTTGGAGTTTGGCAAGGTGTGATTGGTAGTAAGGCAAATGAACAAGGGAATTTAAGAGAAGAGGAAAGAGTAGGGTTTAACTCATTCACAAAGAGTTCCTGCCTGGGAAGAGAGAAGAGTATAGCCTGAGCAGAGAAGGGACGGAGGGATTATAGATCACAATAAACATAAAGAGTAGGTTTAGAAGGCAGTGGAAGAAATGGAAAGATAAAAGATTATAATCAGATGACAGAAATTCAGAGTTTTGGAAACTGGAAACAGAACACTTGTGGGTGAAAGCAAGATGAAGGGAATGACCATCCCTGTGTGTGGATGAGATAAAATGGAGGAGAAGGTAATGGGAATTGAGTAGAATAAGGAACTAGGAGGCTAAAGTATTACATAAAGAATAAATCATACTTCCTTTTATAAAAACTTTCTTGTGTATAACGCCATACTCTTTTTTCCCCTGAGAAGCAATGGATACACATCTGACAACACATACAATATTGTGCCTTCATAATCTCTGCCAAGGGAAGAACTTCATTATTTTTCCATTCGTGGGACAATTATCATTATTTTACTGGTATTTTTCAAAGTACTTCTCATCTATTTAATTAGGTTATTTACATAATATTCTTATTTAGATGTAGAAGCTGAGGCAGCCAGGAGATTAAGTGACCTAAGAAAGTTAGTGATGAAGATAAGAATAGAAAATCTAGATGTCCAAATTAACCTCTCCAGGTTCTTTCCCATTAGAATCAAGCAAGGTACAGAGGTCTTTTGACCATTAGAAAAGATGAAAATAGTATGGCATTATGGACAATAAAGTGTAGGGTTAAAAGGTAATTTTTTTGTCTTTATGTTACATTCTAATATATGGTGGATGCTATTTAACACAAATTAAGACTACTTTCTTATCTGTCAATCCAGGATTGTCTGAGTTTTAATTGCTCTCTGGATAAATACATAAAGTTCATCAGTTCTAAGAACAGAATATTAAAAAACTTTTGCTATGCACTAGAATAGGGTGAGTGTGAATTTTTAAGGTTTTCAAGAAAGTAATACCATGATTTTATATGTGGGGTCTTACCAACTAAAAAGATTTATTTAAAAAAAAAACAAAATTTTATTTCTTTTTGGGAGCAATTTAAGGAATTATGGTGGCCACAAATCTAATCATTCAAAATTAAGTTGCTGTTAACTTTAAACTGGATTCCTTACACAATATCCAAACTAAAGAAATACAAAATGGTAGCACACTGTACTAAGAGGTGGCCTCAGAGTCCAGAAGACTTAGGTTCAAGTTCTGCTTGGATAGGTACTGGCTATGTAACTTTGGGCTAGTCACATCCAATCTCAATGTTCCATGCAACCTTCTTAGACTATAAATTACAAAGCAGGTACTGATCTGCACAGATAAGAATTTCTTCATTGTCAGTTTTCTACAGCAATGAAATTATAAGTCTAGAGACTAGACCAAAAGAATAACAAAATAAAAAAATTTAATGTTTATAAAGTACTTGTAAAATTGTATTAAAAGGTCACGGCTACAATAAGAACCTAAAGTAATCTCAGATCACTTATCAAGTCACAAACATTTACTGGCTACAATAAGTAACTAAATTAATCTGACCCGAGCAGTGTTAAATGCCTTAAAATACTAGAGAACTAATGCCAAAGTACCTACTACAAAAAAAAAAAAGAGCAAAAACAAAACAAACAAAAAAAACCCTTATCTAGCTGAGACAAGACAAAGGAACATGCATTAATTAAACCGGAGGTTCTGATAACTACAATTAACAAAGATTAGAGCTAAGCATTTTGTTAATTGTTTATTTCTCTTGGTTTTTTGGCTTCTTTCTAACCACAGAGGATACAAAGAAACAACTATTAAGACTGAAGCTCTGTTACAGGATTCAAACATAATCAAACAATTTTTAAGAACAGCAGTTCCATATCAGTATTTATTTACTTTGGCCTTATCTTAAAACGTGAAGACTAAAAATTGGAAAGCTTTTGAACTTCTTCTCCTTGTTCCAAATCTAATAGATACATGTTATGAAAATATGTAACAAACTGAAGAAGTGAACTACAGACATAAAAAAGGTTTCGGCCAACTGTCAAAGAATCTAGATGCTAAAGTTGAAGTTCTCTCCAAGACTATATTATATTGACAACAAACCAGGAACAGGATTCTCTTTAAGGTAAATACTTTTTAAAAGCAATTATATTTTAATGGAAAATGCATGATTTAAATATTTCTTCATAACATTACGTACAAGGGGAAGAGTACGGACTTTCCTGATTTTTGGCTGTAAGTACACAAAAAACTGACATATGTCACAGCTCTCAGAGTTCCTAAGTGGCTACTTCCCTTCATACCTTACCTCCTAATCATCAGCCCTCAAAATCAAAACTCAAAAAGCTATGTTTGTGATAATCAAAATATCTGAAATTGACTCAAGGATGAGCGTACTGCTAAGTAGTTATTTGGGGATTATTTAAAAAAAAAAACAAACTTGTCCTTCCAAATAATGCCTTCTACAGTTTCTTTCCTTTATAATGCAATGATAAATTCCTATAATTCTATAGCCAATGGCTATATAAACCCTCCCAAAAATATATATTTAAATAAAGGTTATAGGAAGACTTCATTTTAAGCTATCCTTCCTTGAACTGCTCTGTAGCAATTTTCTATTATTACTACATGAACCCAACTAATTTTTTGCTGAATTAAACAATAATTTAGTAAAAAAAAATTTTTTTGTTGTTGTTGCTGTTTTTGTGCTCTAAAATCTCTATAACAAAGACAGGCAGGGAAGGGGCCTATCTCCTCATTTAATTTCATCTGCTCTTCAATAGAAGTGCCAAGTACCCAAGATTACAAGCAAAATATATAGCTTGAATAACCTTTAACCCACAACTACTTAAAATGGCAAAAAATACCACTATCCCCAATCTATCTTTCCTAGTATTTGCCTCTTTTTGTCTGTCCATCTCCTCTCTCATTTCACAAATTCTCATCCTCTCTTCTGATCTTGTTTCTCTCTTACATGGTAAAAATGGAGAACCATATTTTTTATTTGTATTTTATTTACTGACTGCTTTATTTCCTGTTCTTCATTTTAGTATATAAGTATAATGTTTTATATATTCCTTTAAATTAAATTGCTTTTTATTTATGTGACTTTTGATAATTATTATTACTGATTTTTTTGGATAGGTCAGTGGTCCTAAGCTACTTTTAAAAGGGCTATTTAAAAAAAGCAGAAGAGGGGGAAAAACGAGCAACATAAGAAAGCCACAAAAGATAGAGAAATATAAAATATGTCCTACCTTTTATTTTTCAACCTTTTTTAAAAGAAAACATCAATTTTTATCTCTGAGTGTTCCCTAAGTAATAAGACTAAATTTACACTAAAACAAACAAACAGTTTTAAAACAAAACCTTTTCAAGGTTATTTCTTACTTGTCTCTTGATGCTCCCAGCGCCAAAACAATGGGATCTGCGATTTCTAACATAGACTGAAGGATAGAAGCTACCACAATGAAAAGTATAATACTAAGCAGGAATGCCCGATGAACAACTTGCAGTTCTATCAGACCGGTCTGCACCGCCAGAATTAAGAGTGTAACTCCCTCTGTCATCCCCCTGTATTGTTTATTTGGGAGAGAATAAAAATAAAAACAAACAGAATTTTAGTTTATTTCCATTAAGTGGAGAAATACTAAACAGCTATTTAGATAACATGCTAGTGAATACAGATATGTCAATAAATTCCAACTAGTTAGACTTAAAATTAAACTACAAATATATTAGTTTGCTACTTCTTTTTGCAAAGAGGACAAAAACACTATACTGTTTAGCACTCCAATTTTACTCCATCAATAAAATAAAATAAAATTTATTAGTTTAAAAATCAGTCCAGTGTTCTGTCTGATCTTCTTTGTGTTATATTACATACATGTGCCTGTATTTTGCACAACTCTATCTGAATATAAAATACAAAGTTAGGTAAGAAAACCTATTATATCACTTGTGAGGATGGAGAGAAATAAGACATCAATATCTCCTCTATATAGATAGATATAAATACAGATATATCCATCCTCCCAAGCGAGACAGAAGGTTTTCACAAGTAAGCCTCAACTCACATAGTATCCAATGGTATCAAAGCAATTTGCTAAGATTTAAGGCATTTGGGTTCTTATGGTCCCATGGTAATAAATATTGTTATTTCAGGAAAATTGTGATTTCTTAATACTTTTTGCTATATGTAAAAACATTTTTAAAAGTCAATCTTTTTCCCTTCTAAATTCCATCAAAAATTTCTAATAAACTAAACAGAGCCATAATTTTTAAATTTAATAATCATTTCTAAGAGCTTAAATGTCTAAGCTATAAGATATTTGTTTCTAAATACACGCTTTCATTTTCTCTAAGAGTACTAAACTCACCGATTCATAGCAGGATCATTCATGAAGGCCCGATAACCCTGCAAGTAAAACTTGCAGAGCGTCAAAACACCCAAGGCAACAAAAGAGACTGTGAATACCAAACCCAAAAGTGAGTATGGAGTACTACAGCATTCAGCAATACTGGAAGAAAGAAGAAGATAAAAAGTTTAAGAAATATAAATACTTCAGTCATATTGAAAGTACTGGATCTGAAATGACCCTCTAAACAAGCTACTTTGTGCTAAAATGGTCCAAATCAAAACACTGTGTAAGATGAACTTGTCACTTTGGTATTTAATTCACCCTCCAATTATCCAAATTTTTATCTAGCCAAGATATTGGCATACGCCCAGTATATGTGTGAGTATCTACACAAGAGGGATAAACTTTAATGACATAAAGAATGATCTAATTTAATTTTGCACAGATAATATACTTAACATAGAATTCCCACTTGGTTGAAAATTTCTTTACATGGACTAATATGGATTAGACTAGAAAATATCTAGTTTCCTGTTGGGACTCAAAATATGTCTATATTATATTGGATTTTACTTTACATTATAACATATCTTATTTAATATATCTTATTCTGTTGGTGCTTGATAAGAAACACTATCCTGGGGAAGGGTTCATTTATTATTTTAGGTACAAGACCAACTTATAAATAATTTGGAGTTTTATCAAAACATTAAAGAATAAACATTGTCTATCAAGATAAGCTTTTTGAAGTGAGCCCAAACTTGAATCAGTAACGCAAATGTAAGCATTTCTGTTTTTCAGAAGAAAAGCCTTTTAAAACTTTCAGAAGATCAATATTACTTGACTTTCTGTTCATGGATGCTGATGTTGCTAAGCGTGATCTAATTGTTTCTGGATGAACTAATGATTGGAATAGCTTGAGGAAAAAACTAGTTAGTTTATTTATAAAATTTCTTGTAAGAAAAAAGAATTGTGATGAAGCATACTGAAATTCTTGCTGACTACATACAAAAAATATACATTGTAGCTTTAAGAACCAAAAAACGGAACTGGAGGAATTAATAAAGTTTCTTTGTTCCCTCTCCTTAACAAAATACATTTTCCCCTTTATGCAGTCACTTCTTTTACAGAAAACATGCTTTTAAAAAAAATCACAGAACACTGTTAAAACCTGTAATTTTAACTTTTATGTTTTGGTATATGGAAAGTAAAAAATGAAGAACTTAAGTATTAACAAAAAACATGATGACTTTCTTGGTCTGAGATGTGAAATAATGACTTAATGAACATAGAAGGATAACTTCTCTAGATGGAATGGGCTTTGAGTCAGGAAACCTGGGTTTGAACACCAGCTCTGAGGATTAACGAAGTCTGGATTAGATTACTTCCTCTCTCTCTGGGCCTCCATTTTCTCATCTGTGAAATGGGACTAATATTCCTACTTAACCTATGTGGCAAAAAGAAAAATACTTTACAAAAGTAAGCTATTATTATTTTCAAAGTTTCCTTTCCTAGTAGATGTAAGCTTTTTGAGGGTGGGGGTTAGCTATTGTTTGTCTTCATATCCCTAGCACCTAGCACAGTACATACAGTAGGCACTTAATAAATAAGGAGTATGTTGTTAATGGAGAAAGCTCAGGCCTTGGCATCAGGAAGGCCAAAGAATCCTGTCTACAGCCACTTTCTGGGTGCGTGACTGAGCAAGCCAATTAACATCTCTATGCTTTCGATTTCTCTATGACTTAGATTTTTAAAATTGGGATAACAAATACAACTCCCTTTTTGTCAGCATCAGATGAGCACAATATGTAAAGAGCTTTGCAAGCTTTAAAGCTATAGAAATGTCAGCTATAACTGTTTGCTCAACTGAATTGAAATACCCAGTTCTCTGAATGATTGTTCAGTTCAATGGAGAATACGTTATTCTCTCTCAAATACCCTAACCAGTCAGTTCCTCAACCTACTCTCCTCCCATGAGCAGCTTCTCCTCTACCCCACCTCAACCACACACAAAGACCCTCAATCTTACTATCACCCACAAACGTACCACCTCCATATTCAAGAATTCTGAAATCCCCTATCCAACCATGCCTTTCACCTCTCTCTGCCTTCCCTTACAGAATCATCACCATGAAACCCAATCCCTTGATCCCTCAATTCCTTCCCAGGCCATCTCCTCAGCACTAGCCACTCTCTACTCTTGTACCTATCCAGACTCTTTAGTGAACAAATTCAATTCTACATTGTGCTCCTCTCTTGAATCCATAGCCCTATTATAAAATCATCAATTATGCCCAACCAAGCCCCACCATTCATCACCTTCATATCTACATATGTGCTACTGAATAAGGGTGGAGAAAATCACGCCATTGTTCTCACTGGATCCACTACAAATTTATGTTACATAACCTCGACTGGCCCTCATTGCTGCTAGACAATCCTACTATACCACCCTAATCAACTCACTATCCCACTCTTCAGAGAGGCTCTTCCAAACCTTTTTAACTCTCCTAAGGCCTCCATGGCTCTCCCTCTCTCCACTCTCTTAGCTGACAATCTTGTCTTATATTTTAGAGAAAAACTGAGGCCATTTGCCATGAACTCCTTCTTCTCCCCTCTTCTTTATCTCCCATCACTCAGATGCCTTCCTCCCCTTTCTCCTCCTTCATCTCTCTTTTACATGAAGTGGGTTTACTCCTCTACCCTCATCATCTCATGCCCAGATCATTACAATAGCCTGCTGCTAGGTCTACCTGAGTCTCTCCTCACTCCAATCTTTCCTCCATTTATCCATTAAAGTGATTTTCCTAAAACGAAGGTCTGATCATGTTACTACCACCACCCCCACTCAATGAACTCCAGTGCCTTCCTATTGCCTCCAAGAGCAAATACAAAACACTCTGTATGGCATTCAAAGCCCTTGATAATCTAGCCCCCTTCTGCCTTTCCAGTCTTTTTGTACCTTACTCCCCGACGTGTACTCTTTGATCCAGTAACACTGACCTCCTGGCTGTTCCACAAACAAGATGATTCATTTCTCAGTTCTGGGCATTTTCTCTGGTTGTCCCCCATGCCTGGAACACTCTCCCTCTTCTGCTCCAACTACCGACTTCCCTGGCTTCCTTTTAAGTCCCAACTAAAATCCTGCCTTCTACAGGAAGCCTTATCTAGCTATTTTTTTTTCTGTTCAATTTTTATTTTTTTTACTTTTTTCTCTTTATTTTTTGGATTAGATTTTAAGTTTTGGTCTCCCTCCCTCCCTCCCCACCCTGCACTTAAAGAAGGCCACCATTTGATTTAGATTTATAAATATATGTAAAACCATACTATGCATACTTCTACTTATCAGTTCTTTCTGTGGAGGTATATAGCATGTTTTCCTTTATAGTTGATATGAGTACTTACAATACTCAGAATAACCTGGCTGTTCACAATCACTCTTTGAATAATATGGCTATTACTGTATACAACAAGTTCTCTTGGTTCTGTTCTCTTCACTTATCATTATTGCATGCAAATTTTCCCATGTTTTTCTAAAATCAACCAGCTCATCACTTCTTACAGTACAGTAGTATCCCACCTAACAAGTCTTAATTCCAAAGCTTTCTCTTTTAACTATTTCCTACTTGTCCTGAATATAGCTATTTTGTACATATTTGTTTACATGTTGTCTCTTCCCCATTTGGCTGTAAGCAGATATTGATGGCACAGACTATCTTTTGCCTCTTTTTGTATCCCTAGCACTTAACACAGTGCCTGGCACACAGTAGCATGTAATGTTTATTGAATTAGATAGCAATCTAGAGTAGTCTTCTTTATTGCTAAATAACTAAATGATTTTTTTGTGGGAGGTAGTGTATATACCAAACACCAAATTATATAAGGGAAAAAATGAAATTGATTGTCTTAGGAGATGGGAAATGACTGATTACCAAAATAGTTATGTATGTAGAATCAGACCTCAGAGTTGGTAGACCAATAATCAAAATAGAAAATTAGAAGAAAAATGAGAAGACATGACATACAATTAGAACAACTCCATCTCAGCTTACTTATACAAACTACTGACAACAAAAATGCGGAAAGAAGATGAATGACATGGATTGTTCTATTTCCTACAAACAGCGATCTCAGATGAGGCAACTACCCTAATGAAATGTCCAAGTGAGACTAGACATAGCCTCCAATAGAAAACATTGCCAAGCAGAGACATATTAACAGCCAAAGATAATATAAGATCGTTTGTAAAGCATTACAGAAGAGGGTGGTGACAACAAAAATGATAAAAAAGAAAGACTACATGTACACCAAAACATTTATAGCAGCACTTTTTGTAGCAAAGAACTAAAACAAATATCCATAGAGTATAGAATGGTTAAATTTTGCTAAATTAATATAATGGCATGTTATTATTGCCACCTCTACAAAACCCTTCATAAGATTAATCTACACACATACTGGGAGCATTCTTGACAGAAATATGAGAATGAAACTGGCAAATCCTCACAAGTGATATTCTGCTGCAAACCACAACTTAGAAGACACAAATAACTGAAAGATGAAGAGAATAAAAGGATTATTATTTTGTTGAAGCTTATTATTAGTTACTATATGTTTATTTGTTGACAAAAAAGTATTTGATTAAGAACAAAATGCAAACTTAAAAGCACTACTCCAATAGGATGTCTCTTATTCAAATATTAACATGCAGAACTTTTTGAATTTTGATCAATGTGCTTTGAGTGTTAACATATCAAGTAAAACATGAAAAGGGAGATGTATCCTTCCCAAAAATGTTTGCAATTGAAAGGAAAAATGTCAAGCACAGAGTCCAAATTGCAGAGGGATTACCTATAAACGGTAATTTTACATACACTCCTGTTTCTGTATAACAGTGCAATTTCAAGTGCTAAGATAATAGTTTCCTAAATTAGATTCACAACTATTCAAAAAATTATACAATTAATATAGGAAAAACAAGTAGATCATAGATTTAGAGTTGGAAAAAATCTTAGAGGTCAAATAGTCCAATCCTTTTGCTTTACAAATAAGGAGGCTGAGGCTCAAAAGAGGTTAAGCACATTGCTGAAGGTCACACATAATAAGTGAGAGAGTTAGTGCTCAAATCCAGTTCCTTTGACTCTGAATACAAGAATATT